GCATGATCTTTTCCAGCTCCATCCAAGTTGCTGCAAAAGACATGTGTTTCTCTTTTTTGGTTGCTGAGTAATATTCCATTGTATATATGTACCACATCTTGATCAGAGCAGTTTTTTAAGTCCAATTTACCTTCCCCAAACTAATGGGAACATAGAGCAGTTTGTAAGGAATTTTTCATTCTTTGCAGTCCTGATATTTTATTCATACTAATTTTTGATATTTGACTTGTAGTGTTTCCAGCTTTGTGCGTAAAACTACTGAGAAGATCGGCACTCTTCATACAAACCCTGATTTGAAAGTAAGACCAGAATTTATGGGTGATGAGCTATCATGTGAAGAGGATGTGAATGCAGTCACCTGTCCAAAGGAGGACGAGACTGAGTAAGCTTTTGCATAGACATCTGTGTCAGCAGCAGCCCTGATGACAAGTGCCTAACCCAGCAAAATCCATTTACTCTCAGGGGCTGTCAGGTGAACTGGGGGAGCAGAGTGCCAGATTTTATAAGTTCTACAAGTCACGTGAATGACCCTGTTCATTGTTTCTGTAACTCATAAAAATTGAATACAAAATGAGTGTTGCAGGATTACATAAACCCATAGCAAGTCTGTTAAGTCAGAATAAGTGGCTAGGATTTTTTGACATGTACAATGAGATGTCTAATCATAGATCTTCGTATGGTTGTATGGTCCTTCTGGTTTAATTCAATATGAAGTATCTTGTCCATTGGGTTTCTGCCTCATCTCATAGTTCAGAAAATCTGAACACTAGAGGCAAGTGAATTCAGCACTCACCCAGGAATTGAGAGAGACCCACATGTCTAGTGAATTAGGACAGTCAGGTAAGATGAAAGGTATGTTATCTTCAGAATAACTTAGAGAATCCATGTGTTCATAGGAAAAAGTGTAGGTATGGCCATGGTGTTTAAGGCAGCCCTCAAATTGACCTCAGCCATCCTTTCCAGCTTTATCACCAGCCACATCCTTCTAAGCACTCTAAATCCAATCCTCTCAGAGCACTTGATGTTTATTGACACTTCACTACCTTCTTCATGCTATTTCTTCCACCTTCAAACTTCTGTTTTTCCTAACATAAATGCCACTTCCTTAAGAAAGCTTCCCTTGCTTAGTTAAATAATCGTTCCCTATGCTTTCAAACATGATGTGCTGCTTTTTAGCATTTCTTTCGTTTGCTTTTATATCTACTTAGTTGTTTGCATGCCTTTCTTTTGACTAGAACTTGCTCATCTTGAGGCCATGTACTTATTTTTACACTTATGATTTTGTCTCATGTAGCATTAGTGTAATACCTACCACTTACAATTGTCTAAGAAAACTTGGACTTCCTCTCTTTTGACACTTTTTAAGGGGACAAAAAGAAGAAACTAGTCAACCTCCAGAAGATGATGACCTCCAGGAGCTCAAAATAGCAACAGAAGAAGCAATGTGAGTACTTAAGAATGAGAAATTTGTAATGAATGAGAATGATTTTTTGAGATCAGAGTAGTGGTGCTGAGGTGGTGGGGCAGAGGAAGTCTCATTTGGAATTGAATGTAGAATTCAAAACCAGGAATTTGTACAAAGTTAATATACTGCCTGTGTTGTCATCTTGTTGAGCTAATTGTTACTTAAAGGTTAAACAGTAACACTTATTCCAGATAATTGTATGGTTAGTTAGGCTTATTAAGTATGAAATTAATTTTTTTAAAAAGTGCATGAATTTTGAATTTCATACTTGTCTGTTTTGTACAGGACTAAACTACAGGATCCATTGATTTTATTTGAACCCAAGTCTCTGAGAATGGCTTTGCAAGAGTGGCTTTCACAGTTAGAAAAATCTTTTGCCACAAAGGACTTTTTAGGCATTTCAGATACTGGCAACTCATCCACAAAATCAAGCCAGGATGTTCCCTTGCTTGATGAATCAAAAAAGGGAATGTTAGATGAAGAGAATGAAGAAGAAAAAAGGGACTTTTCAGGCAATGAAGACACTGTTGATCAAACAGCATGTGAATCTGTAAATAGTGAGAGCGAGCCCTTAGATGACTTTTTTCAAGTATATTCTCCTTGTACCATAGCAAACCGTCTTCAGAAGGAGCTGGCGGAATTGACAACATTATGTTTGGAACTGAATGTATTGAATTCTGAGATTGAAAGCACAAATGAACATGTGGCCCACACTTTACAGCAACGTTCTCCTGAAATTCTGACTTGTCAGTTCCTAAAAAAGTACTTTTTTCTCCTGGACTTGAAAAGAACAAAGGAGAGTATCAAGTTTAGTTATACTAATAGTCCTTTGGTTTGGGACACTTTTATTGAAGGATTGAAAGGTAATAATCAGATTGCCTTACTAAAGAGAAAATTTGGTATAGAGGACAATAGCATTTTGATATTTTTGTGCTAAAAAAGTGACTTAAATAGAAGTCACTTTGTTCTGGTTAACCTTCATTCTCTTCCCACTGAATTTAATCCTTTATGGTTCCTCAGAAATTGGTTTAATTTGCCAATAGTATTATAAAAAATTAGTTTTATTTCTCTCACAGCCACATTGAGAAAATGAAATACGAATCTTAGAGAAGTTGGAGTTAACATAAAATTTTATAAATACACATACGTAAAACTACAAAGTCTCTCACATGACATACTGATACAGGCATAATATAGACCACTTATTGAGTACTCAGTATGTGCCAGATACGCTAAACATTTCACAAGCATCATTTCATTTCATCCTTAACAATGTTCTCTAGAGCAGATGATCATATTACCGTATTTAGTAGGTGAGGAAACTGAAGCACAGAGAGGTTTTAATAGTCAAGTAGGCTAAATTGCTGTAATAACTATAATAGAGATTAGTTTCTTGCTCATCTATATTTGTTAAGAACAGATTTTCTGGGTCACTGGGCAGCCTTCTTCCACCTGGTAATCCAGGGCTCCAAGTCCTTTCATTTTTTTACAACTGCTTCCTCTCTTAAGGATGGTGATTGAGATTGGGTTGCTGGATCCAGAGGAAAGCTTATAGAAGGAATAAATATGATCTTTTAGGTCAGGTAGTGATTTGTTTATACTCTGTTGAGTGACAATTCTATTACATGACTCCACCTATCTGCAAAAGAGACTGGAAAGGGTAACCTGTCCAGGTGTCTAAAAGGAAGACTGTGAAAGCTGTCTGCGTCAGATTTTTTGGCTTACAGTCACTAGTTCACACTTCATGGAAGGTCACACTGCTTGTCATGCTTTTCTAAAAACCAGCTATTAAATTCCAGTGACCTTTACATGCACTTTCTGTTGCATAGTCCCATGTTTTTAAAGAGGTAAATTTTCTTAATCTAGACTTAGTAACTTAATTTGGGCTTTAAGCAAACCTAAACATAGGTTACAAGTAGAGATACATTTTTATATTACTGACTTAATGATCTCTTAATTTTCTAGGAACTTGGATTATAATTATATTTCAGCTTTAGTTCATACTTAGCTGTTAAAAGCCTAAGTAATGACTGTAATTTTTTCCCCCCTGGATTGAGGTGGTTTAGCTTTTCCATAAAATAGGAAACGTCTCAAGTAAACTTAAATATTTGACATTATTACTTACTAGAAATGTGTTTATCAGTTATTCCTAACCCTGATATAGGAAAATGGCAGAAAAGAATCTCCATAGCCTGCGTGGTTATTGACTTAGACCAGAACTGGCTGGCACATGTGTGATAGGCAGTTTGAGGCAATGTCTCTGCTTGCTTGAATTTAGGTGCAGAAGTATAACTTAGTTCCCACCCAGTAAAGCTTCTTTCTCAAACTCAAAATGAGGGCTCTTTTTTCTGAATTCTCAAGTACTTACTGCCTGATAGAGTCAAATAGGAAATAATGAAATTAGTTGGAGGAAATGATTGTTACTAAAAATTTAATTTTTATTGATTTTCCCGTTATTTGCAAAACTGTATACTTTCTGGAATTTACAGCTTCACCCCTTGATTGTGCACAGGCTTCACTTGCCCATCATCAAAGCTCTGGTGTGACTCCACTCACCTTACCTGTCTCTGTTGTCTTCCCCCTCTTCCCTTCCTCCTCCCCTCTGGTACCACCATAGTTTTCAGGGTCTACTTTTTGTGTTTTGCCAGTTTGTTTGACAAATGAGTGACCCTACCCAGTAATTGTTTTTCACTCTCTGACAGGAAAAATGATTTTTTAAAAAATGGTTAAATATTAGAGATTGAAGCTTGGTTCTTTAAAAGTGATAAGTTGAGTGTACTCCATCTATCAAAAGATATAATTGTGGAAAACAGCCTCTGGAACTGTTCTTTGGGGGTTGTCTTCACAGCCAGTTGAAAACTCACTTTAGATTCATATATTTAGTTAACTGTAACAGTTGCAACTAGATCATCACTTGTTTTATTTATCACACTTGGCTTTACATGATTTGGCTATTCCCCAAAGAGAACTCTTCCTTCAAAGGAAGATTTTTTACAACTGATCTTTTTTTAAAATAGGTCAGATATTTAAAGTTAATTTTATTGCAAAAGAGTTGGCACTGATCTAGAAAAAAAGAAAATGGAAATTTGATATTGATGGTAGATGTATAGATTTCCCTACACTTATTTTTTGGAGAGTAAAAATCTTTGTATTGTCCTTTTACCTAATTTAACACTTTCAATATGCTTTGTCTCCCAATTTGATTCAGGTTCTTTAACCGTACAGATTGCATCTTGTTTTTTTTTTCTCTGTTACAATGCTTAGAAGCCTTGGGCCTTGCACAAAGAGGTGCCTAAATAACGATTATTGAATGAATGTTTTCATGAACTGAATATTTACAGCTGTTAAGACAAAGGGAAAAGAATGTGCTCTATCTTTCAGAAATGGCACGTTCTAATCCTACATATATGGAAATGGAAATGGAAGAAGGAGACCTACCAACAACATTAAAGTTATTGGATGACTCGGTTCCTTTTGATAGCCCTTTGTTGATAGCTTATGCTACCCGGTAAGTTTTTTTATATGTTGTTTATACGAACTAGAGCACATACATTTTATTTTTTTTTTTTTGTTTAATCTCTAAAGTTTTATTTCACTACATGTTGGGCAACTTCTTAGTATATTTATTTCTAGTTCTAATAAGTGCCTAGGTAATGTAACCAAGTATGCTATCTCACTGAAATTGGAAGCATGTTTTGTTTTTAAATGCAGATTGTATGAGAAGTTTGGGGAATCTGCCCTTCGATCCTTAATCAGGTTTTACCCATCCATTTTGCCTTCGGATGTCATGCAACTTTGTCATCATCATCCTGCTCAGTTTTTGGCCTACTTAGACAGTCTGGTGAAATCAAGGCCTGAAGATCAATGGTGAGGAAGCGAGAATGTTCACAACTCTCCTTCTTTTGATAGGACATTGTATCTCTTATGTAACTCTCACAGTACTGAGAGACCTACTATAAAAGAAGAGAATTTTAGCAATTATTACCATTCTTCCGCAGTTCACAGCACATACCACAAACTTCTTTTCCCACCCGTGGATCTTTCAATCATAAGTGTCAAATTGAACTTCAGGGTCTAAACTAAGATAGATAAGCTTTTTTGCTGTCTCTGCCAGTAATTGGATTTACTGCCACCTTTTCACTGATGATATCCCAGCCTTTTTGGGTGGATCTCAGTTGCAGTTCTTTACCTCCATAGGCAAACACCTCATTTCTTAATCTTCATATGACCCTCCACACACATGCCCTTCCGTTCTTGTTAGGCAACTTTCCCCCTTTCTTTCTCCGGTTGATTTCACTTTTGCCAGACAGGTTTTTTTGTTTTGTTTTTTTTTAAGATTTATTTGTTCATACAGAACTGGGGTACAGGCCAGAGGCTCAGGGGTGGCGAGAGACTTCACCAGAGACAGAGTGGGGAACAGAACAGGCAGATCTACGAAGTAAACTGCTGGGGGGAGCAGCGGGTGGGTCAGGAGAGGTCTGCCACACCATGTGGTCACCTCCAGGGCAGGCGGGAATTAAACTCATGCGGAAGTGGCTTTAGCGTCTCAGTGCTGTGCTTTTAATCCACTGCGCCACCAGGGAGGGCCTGCCAGACAGGTTTTTAAATCTCCCCAACCTAACCTCAACCCCTTACCCTTTTCTGCTTTTTCCTTTTCTTGTTTTTATTACCCCTTTGGTGTTTTTATTATCGAGGCTCAACTATTCATTTAAAAGACAGAACATTACTAGCATTTGTAGACATTTCATTTACTACAGTGAATGTTTAATATTTCCTTCATGTCTTCACATTTTATGTTTCCTGTCTCAGTATGAAGATTGGTGATTTTTCTCAACTTTTTCCTAGGCCATCCTTTCTTGAGTCTCTTCTACAACCAGAGTCTTTAAGATTGAACTGGCTGCTTTTGGCACTGTCCCATGATGCTCCCCCCAGCATGAGCACTATGGATGATGAAGGAAACCCTAGGTATACTAGGAGTCCTCATTCTAAGCTTCTCTGTTTCTTTGGAAACATAAAACATTTTGGGATTACTTCAGGATCAGCTGTGGAAAAAAAATTGACCTAAGTTAGAGGGAGAGACAGAGAGAAAAACTGTGTGTATGTGTATGTGTGTGTGTGTCTGAGGTGGTAAAAGGGTTGTTTGTGTGTTCTTAGAAATTTGCTAAGGATTTTTAGATACACCCTGAATTTGGTTTTATTAAAAAAAAAAAAACAGAGTAAATTGTAATAACAATATTCAAAAAAAAATACTGATATTGTAGCATATCAGAAATGTTGCCTGTGTAAAAGCCTCACAAATACCTATTTTGCTTAGAATAAGATCTGGAAGGGTACACAGTGGCTATTTGTGAGTGAAGGAATTAGGGGCTTCTTTGTCTTGCTTTTGACTACCTAAAATGTCTACTTTTTTTAAATGAACAGGTATTATAGAAAAAAATAGCCTTTTGATTTTATTAAAGCCAAATTAGAAATATTAAAAAAATATAATAACAATGAGATAAATAACTCTACTAGATGACCAAAGTTAGATTTATTTTTTGTATAATTTACTGAGAGTTTTTCATTTCACAGACCTCATTCACACTTGTTTTCCTGGGGTTATAGTCAGCTGATCCTTCATCTCATTAAACTTCCTGCAGATTTTACAACCAAAGAGAAAATGATTGACGCTTGTAGGTCTCATGGGTAAGTGAAATTTTTCTTAGAAGCTGAAATTAAGTTTAGAATAATTTCAGTCTATAACTTTGTAGATAAGGACCTAAGTATGCTCTTTCATTTGGGAATTCTCTTTGTTATATAAAATTTGTCTTTTTGTTTTAAGTAATAGTACACATCTTTTTTCCTTTAAGTTTTGTGCATGTTTTTCTTTGGTACATGAGACTAGCCTTTGATAATTCCCCTCTCTTCATAGTTGCTAGCCTCAGTTTTCAGGCATGTAGATGTCAATTAAGCACTAGATTGTATGATATGAAGAGCTCAGAATGGGATTAGTAGGTTCCTTGGTGAAGAACTTAGGGAGGAAGTAAGACTTTGGAGGAATTCCTGAAGGCCGTATAAGACTTGTATTTATAGGGACCAGGGGCAGGGTGGTCATTTGTGAGAAGCACAAGAGTAAAGGCAAGAAAAATTGACATTGCTTTTTTTTTTTTTTTTTTTAAAGATTTATTTATTTATTTGTGCATACAGAACTGTGGTACAGGCCAGAGGCTCAGGGGCGGTGAGAGGCTTCACCAGAGACAAGAGTGGGGAGCAGAACAGGCAGATTGACGAAGTACACTGCTGAGGGAAGCAGCGGGCGGGTCAGGAGAGGTCTGGCTCGCCATGTGGTCTCCTCCGGGGCAGGCGGCAGGCGGGAATCGAACTCATGCAGAAGTGGCTTCAGATTCTCACTGCTGTGCTTTAACCCGCTGCGCCACCAGGGAGGGCCGACATTGCTTTTTATTTGTACCACATGTTAGTTAGTTATTGCCTGATTGTGTTACTAACAACTCAACCAGGATTATATCTTTTGGGAATAGGGACCATGTCATCCTTTTCCCTCATGTTGCCTAATTCATACAGTGGCAGATAGTTGATATATATAGCGAGCCCTCCAATAGCATCAGTTTGTTCAATGTTGTATCGTCATAATGTTGACGAGAAAAATACAATCCTAACTGATACTTAATGAAATTATATTATTTGAGGGTTTGCTTTCATTATAGTCATTTGCTTAAAGTTGCAGTTTTTAAGAAACCATTGACAACCTTAAGTGAGAACTTACAGTATTTGTTCATTGATAGTGAGGGATGAGATCAGTGTGTGGTTATGATCTCATCAACTGATATAGTACCTTGAAAGCTGATAAGGAGAATTTAGTAAAGACTGTTTAGACTTTTTGGTATGAAAATGACGTAAAATGGAGCTTTCCAGAGATCATTTTGGGTGTCATGCCTTTGGAAACAGGCAGGCGAGCTGGGAAGTTGTTGCAGTAACTCAGGTATTATCAAATTGGTAATCTGATAATCTAAAGGACATTTGACAGAAAATTCAGCAGGACTTATAAATGACTGGGTATAGCAAATGAAGAAGGTGGGCACATCATTTGCATATTTATAGGGGAAATACATTAATTTTGTATTGAATCTAAAAGTTTACAAAGTGTACAAACCAGTGTTTCTTAATTGATTCTTGGCTTCAATTATCAGTATTTATCAATAGCTTTTTTTTTTCTTAAATGCTATACATCAGGGGTATCTAATATCAGTATCCTATTTTAATTGAGCTATTGTGCTCCATTCTCCAGTTTGGGAGCCACTACTATATGTGGCTGTTGAGAACTTGAAATACAGATTGATCAAATGAAGAACTGACTTTTGAATTTATTTGCTTTTAATTAATTTAAATTTAAATAGCTATGACCAGTAACTACTATATTGAACAGTATACCTCCAGATAAATTCACTGCCTTTTATTCCTTTCTTCAACTTTGGACTTTTTAAAGTTTCTGGCCTGGATATCTTACACTCTGTTTGGAGCTGGGAAGAAGAAGAGAGTCCTTCACAAACATTGTATATTTGAATGATATGAGCCTGATGGAAGGGAGCAATGGTATGTAAGTCCCAGTTGGTTACTTTTGGTTGTAGTATTTTAGAAATCATTCCAGACTTTCCAGTAAAGACATTTGATGAATAGTTCAGTGAACATATGTATAATATTAGTTATCTGTCAAATTTGTGAGCTTCTTTTTCTTTTTTAATCTGTACCATTTGGTATATTATGAAAACTTAATGAGATATAGACTTCAGGCACCTTTTTAATTAGCTCCTACTGTGTGCTAGGCACTAGATGGTTTTCCATAAGTTGTTTAAATTATAGCAAACCCTTGTGGGTAGTCATCATTCTTTTTTTTTTTCTAATTTCATTAATATATTTTTACATTGCTCATTTTTGTACAGGTTTGACTTCTCCTCTCACATGTAATCCCCATAAAATTACCAAACACCCATGAATCATTGCTATAGTCTTTTTGTGCTCTTCCATCCCATTTTTATCCCTCTCTCCTCCTCTCTTGCTGAATGTCTCCGCTGTAGTTTGCCTGCTAGTTTTGTCTTTTTGTTTCCCCAGATCCCTTGCTTGGTTTCTCTGTATTCCTCCTATAAGTGAGCTCATCCGATATTTTTCTTTTTCTCGGTAACTTATTCTAAGTTACCGAGAAAAAGAGATTATGAATGGAGCATAATCTCTTCTAGCTCCATTCATGTTGCTGCAAATGTCATGAGTTTATCTTTTTGGATTGTTGAATATCCATTGTGTATATATACCACATCTTCTTGATCCAGTCATCTGTTTTTGGGTTGTTTTTATATCTTAGCTAATATAAATAGTGCTACAATTAATGTAGGAATGTGGGTTTCCTTTCTAATTAATGTTTTTGTGTCCTTTGGGTAGATTCCTAGGAGTGGAATTGCTTGGTCATATGGTAGCTCCGTTTTTAGTAGTTTGAGCCTCCTCCACACAGCTTTCCATAGGGGTTAGACCATTTTGCATTCCCATAGCAGTGAGTTACTATTATTTCTATTTTACAGAAGTTATAACTGAGTCCTGGAGAAAGGACAATTAGTTCCTAAAAGTCATTAAGTTAATATTGGAGCAGGTATTCAGACCCACTGACTACCTCTAAAGCTTGTGCTTTGATACTTCTCTCTGTATTGTGTTTTTTAACCAGAAGCTAGAGATCATTTAGTTAAGTTAAAATGGAGTAGTAATTAGATTTCCCTAAATCTTAACAAGTATTTAGACACTTTTAAAAAATTTTACTTTTCACCAATTCAAGACAGAGAGAAAATGTCACTTAGAAGGCCAGGACTGACATTTGAAATTGGGGAGTCCATTCTGCACTCAGAGAGATGGCCTGTTTTGTAGTTTTACTTTATTCATCTCAGTGAATATCAGCATCATGACATCAGAATCCTTCACACAGCAAGATTCTGTTGATAAGGAAAAGGGAAAATCACATCTGTTGGTAAGGAATAGGGAAAATCAGAGCAAAGGAGTGTTGATTGGCAAGGCTTAGCTTCAGATGTCACGCCGTAGCAATATTAGTGAGATCAGAAACAGAACAAAAGAGAGTGGTTTTGTTAGTCTGGAACTATACACACACATACACTCTGAAAAATAACCAAAAAAGACGAGTCATGCTATATACACTTAAACATCTCAACTGTATTGAAATACAGAGCTGTATATCAATTATATATCAATAAAATTGAAAAAAGTATCTCCTAAAATCCTCCCTACTCAGATATAAGTACCCTTAATATTTCACTAATATAATAATAACTCTGTTTACTAAAGGAAAAGAGAGGGAGGATCTTTTCTTAATACTTCTCTTGTCTCATAACTCAGATTAACCACTATTCAAGGCGTATTGATATTGCTGCCAAACACATAGTTTATAGCTGTCTAATTTGTTCTACCCCATCACTCTGATCCTAGCTACTTGCTTAGAAACTGTAAGAACTTCGTAATTGTCATTTGGTTTCTATTCATAAACACCTTTAATTGATTTTTCTTGTGGTACCTCATCTAGTTCTTTTAAACAAAATTTACCTCTTTTACAACTCCTACATTGAAGCCAGAATAAAAGGATAAAATCCAGATTCTTGAAGAGGACACTTAAGGCCTGACCTATCATTTATGCTCTCTGATCCCCATTGCCTTTGTAGGCCTTTTTATGAGTCATTTGAACTCAGCAAAGTCTTCCCTGTCACCTCTTTGTTTCCTTTGTTAGAAATGCGAGGTCCTTCACCTTCCATTCCTGGTGCTCCCACCTCACCTTTGCGCATATGTGAGCCACACGCTTGTCACACCCTTGGTCTCTGCTTAAATGTCACTTCCTCATGTGCCCTTTTCAGATCCTCCAAAACTTCTGCCTTTCTATACTATGGTTCCTGGATCTTTTCCTTTATCGCACCTGGCATTCATTGTAGTATAGATTTATTTATGTGTTTGTGTAAATTTTGTCTTTATTACACTTTAAGCATCATAAGACTATAGGGATTTTGAATATTTTGGTCCTCACTGCATATCCATCAACATATCCAGAGCCTGGGTAATTGCTTATTGAATTGAACAAATGAAAGAATTTTGAAGCTATTTTTATGACTTCTCCTTGAATATTTAGTCAACAAATATTCTTTGTTGAATATTTTCAATTCTTTGAAAAACTTTGTTTTGGGTGAGGAGATTATGTTCTTTTGTTTTTATTTTCTTTACTATATATTTTAAATATATTTTTCTATTATAGTTTTATTATATTTTCACAAATGGCTTTGATCATCTCTTGTGTCAGAGTGCTAAGATCAGTCAGAGCCAAATTGTTTCTGTATGCTTGTGTAGGTTGGACCCCAGAGACTGTAGAGGAATGGAAGCTTCTTCTACATCTTGTTCAGAACAAGAACACAAAACCAGTGCCCCCAAAGTCGCCAAATGGGAACTTCAGTGATGGGCCTTCACCTATCAATGTGGAGAACGTGGCACTTCTGTTAGCTAAGGCAATGGGCCCAGATCGAGCCTGGTCATTGCTACAGGAGTGTGGTTTGACCCATGAGGTATCAGAGAGGTTTACCAGAACCTGCAATATCCTGAGGATTGCCGAGAAAAGGCAGAGGTAATACCTGTCTATTATGCACTCTCTAGAGGCACTGGAGAATATAGAACCTCACATATTTTCAGAGGAGGATCATCCAAGTCTAAACTCTATGTAGTAGATGAGGGCACTAAGACTCATCTGTTGATTAGAGTGATTAAGGGAAGAGGGAAAAGTGCTTCATTCACAGTCATGACCAAGACACTGTTTGGTTAGTCTGGATACTTAAATCTGGTATGTGCTCAATTCTTGAAGAAAATTATTAGTTGGGCCTCCTTGGTGGTTAAAGCGCAGGAGGTTAAAGCGCAGCCCCGTGAAGCTGTCAACAGCCACCACGGCACAGGTTCGTTCCCTGACCAGGGGGATGACCCTCTCTCCTCACCTGCTGCTCCCTTCAGCAGTGTAGTTCAGTGTATGCCGTTTCTGCTTCCCACTCTGTCGCTGGGAAATCTTTTCACCTCCTGCACCTCTGGACCTTACCCCAGTCCTTGTATGTATGTGTATATATATATATAAATCTTTAAAAAAAAAAAAGAAAGAAAATTATTGGTTCCAGATACCAACTATCTCAGCTGGGGTTTGTTTTTCTTTTTAAACTGCTAAAATATAGTTAAATATTATCATCTTAACCATTTCAACATCATGTGAAAATTTCCATCTTGCAAAACTGAAACTTTATGTCCATTAAACAACACATTCCCCCTTCCACCCAGCCCCTGGCAAACTATTTTCTGTCTCTTATGGTTTTTATAACATTTTATTATTGTCAGTCCTTTACTTATGTATTTAACTTTGAACAAGTGTGTGCAGATATCTCTTTGAGACCCTACTTTCAGTTCTTTTGGGTATATACTTAGAAGTGGAATTGCTGGGTCATGTAGTAGCTGCATTTTTAATTTTTTGAGGAATTGCCATACTATTTCCCACATCAACTGTACCATTTTACATTCTCACAAACAGTGAGAATTCCAGTTTCTTCCCATCCTTATGGCACTAGTTGTTTTCTGTTTTTTTATAATAGACATTCAGATGAGTGTGAGGTGATAAACTCATTGAGATTTTGATAATCTCATTGTGTTTGCATTTCTCTAGTGACTGGTGATGCAGAATGTCTGTTAACTTGTCATCTTTGGAGAAACACCTACTGAAGTCTGTTTGCCACTTTTTTAAGTGAACTATTTTTTGATGTCTTATGAGTTCTTTATATTATCTACATCTCAACCCTTTATCAGATGTAATGATTTGTAAATATTTTCTCGTACTCAGTGTGCCAGGATGCTTTTCCACTCTTGATTGTCTTTTGGCTTACAGAATCAGGGGTGGGTTTTTAGGTTTTTTTGTAAAGACTTAACAATGAGAACTAAACTTGCTTTTTCTTTTCTTTGGGATTTCAGAGCCTTGATACAAAGCATGCTTGAAAAATGTGATCGGTTTCTCTGGTCTCAGCAGGCTTAGTGGAAGAAGATTCAGCGGGATGTCATAACATTTTGAGAAAAACTGAATCATTCTCCTAATCTGAATGCATTTGCTTTTGAAGGAAAAGCACCACCTGAAAACCCTGCCATCTTACTGGGCATGCTTCTGTCAGCAATTATAGGTCACAACTTTGTCTTTGACCCCAGTGTTTCTCAGGCAAAGTTGAATTTTGAAGGAATCATCCTTGTTTGCGGAAATGAAGTGCTCTGGAATCCCAATATGAATTTTCACAGCTGTGCTGTCCTTATTCTGAACCCCACAGTATTATTTGCTCCTTCCTCTGGTTTCCTTTTGTGACTTCTGTATAGGAATAAAAGTTTCTTATTCTGGTGACATGAAGAAAGAAAATGTAGTTGATAGGGATTGAATTCTGTTTATTTCTTCTCTGGAAAAGCAGAGAAATTACTGAAAAAAGACAGTATAATGGAATTAATACATAAAATAACTGAAAATTGAAGATTCAAATTAGATATTAAATGAAATGTCCCCCCATATTTAAATTGAGCTAATTTAAAATATTTTTCTGGCATTTGACATTTTCCAATCTGAACATATATCCAGCTAATTCATTACTGAAAATGTTTTATCTGTAATCTTTCCCAGTCACCCAAAGGAATTATGCACTTTTAAAATGTATTTTTTAAAAACTGTAATAAAGTCTGAGTACTACTAGAGACTGTATAGGGGGTGTTTGTATTATGTAATCTTTGTACTGAATTTATCACATATATCACATTACATTTATGTAGCCTGTTAGATTAATGATAACTGTAAAATCTGATCAGTGTTTTCATTTGAATATATATAGACATGTGGTTTATTATAAGCACTTTGCAGGAAAGGATGGGGTAAACTTAGAGTGGTTAAGAACATGGTTTGGCCCGCAGGGATTACAATTGAGATGGGGAAAAAAAATGTACAAAATGACGTAAAAATAAACTTTTGTAACAACAACAAAAAAATGTAAATAAAAGAGCATACTTAGAGTAAAAAAAAAAAAGAACATGGTTTGGTACTTTGACTCACTTCTCATGTTAGAACTATAGGCAGAAATTGTTGCCTACATCCTCATGATATTTGGATATGATATAAACCAGATGGGTTTGAAGAGACTGTCAAAAGGAAGCTTCACAAAGCTTCTTAGAATTTTGGAAAGTGTGGAAAATCTAAGGATTCTAGTCATTTTGGTGTGTGTGGCTTGTTTCTAGCAATAGCATGAAATCAGTCAGTTTCAAACTCAAGCTGTTAACTATGCTTCAGACCATCTCTAAATCAAAGGCTCCTCCCATGATGCCCTCCTGGACTTTTATTAATTTGCTAGAGCATCTCACAAGACTCAGAGAAACATTTTATTTACTAAATGACACGTTTATTATAAAGGATGTGATTCAGGAACAGCCAGAGAGCTCACCCTGTCTTCCTAACCCCACACTGTCACTGCCTTTTCAGATTCTGCTGTCCTGGGCTGCTCCATCTTTTAGAAATCCTGAATGACAAGCAAGCACCAGAACATTGATTGGGTCCACACATGGGTCAACAAAAGGAACTTTCTCACTCATTCCTCTGAATCTTGATATAGGGGCACTGGTAGGCATGGGCAGTGTTTGCGTGGTTCAGTATGTACCCTGAAGGCTCAGAAGACATTTTTCATCTTGGTACCCTGAATTTACATGAGGGACACCCTTATTTCCACAAAGCCTATACTTCACAAGAGCACGAGCCTTCCCTTCCCTCCCCTAACCTGCTCCAGGACTTTCCTACATGGGCCAGAGGGTGGAATGGGATTACGTGGTTGATTGTGCAGATCCTCACTGCTGCTACTTCATTAGCCTTAGGGATTTATGAGATCTGGCCAGTTTGGGATGTGCGCTCTAGGAGGAAGGGTATCTGAGGCTTCTTTGTTCTCAGCTGTGGGTAGCAGGGAAGAAGCATTACTCAGCAGCCTGTTTCTCAAAGTTGAGTGCAAAGGGAGCTCTTTTGTAATTCTGTAATTTGTATTACGGAAAAGAAAAATCTAAGTCTTCCCTTAAAAGAAGTACATGATTTACACATAGATGTATTATTTCTGTAAACTACGTTATTTACAATGTTTGCAAAACCTGCCAGTAAGGACTCACTTGAACCTTCCCTGAAAGAGGTGGGCATATTTACAGGAACTCCAGGCTGGGTCACAGTCCGTTGTTCTTGAATGATCTGGGCCGGGATGGTGTGGCAATGCACCACAGTCTCCCTTTACTCCTGTACCGGACTTGGAGTAGTTTCCAACTTCCAACACAGAGCCTTTGAGAACCTCAACATATTTTACTTCCTGGTTAAGATGACAGTAAAACTCATCCATGCACTCTTTCAACATTATTCAATAATGAACTCCTTATATGCCACAGATAGGCCCTGGGAATATAGCATATATTCCCTGGGAATGAAATACACAAGACCAGTGCTGTCCAGCTGCTGGAAGAGTTATTAAGCAAGTCAGTGTAATTTAGTAGTTTATGTGCCACATTATTGCAAGTTAAACTGGCAGCTTTATAGCATAGGAACCCAGAATCCAAACATGTAATCCTAACAAACCAGATTTGACTTTCAGCTTTGCCACTGACTGGCAGGAAGGTTAGTAGCAAGGACAAGTGATCATGGTAAGTTGTTAGCTGAAAAAGCAGATGTACAATGACAGGCCTTTTATCCCCATGCCTTTACTTGTGCATTCACAGATGTACGTGCACTTAGAAAACAGACTAAAGACCTAACATGGAGAGTCTACAGAGCGTCTCCCTCCTTTTATCTAGTCTGGACTGGCGATTAGTACTGCTTTTGCGGAAAATAATATTTAGAAGCCTTATTTAAATGATGTCAGTAGGCTAGAAAAGAGCTTCATCCACAGTTCTTTGCTCCTAGTCTTTGGCAGAGACCATGGCCCGTTACTTTGATTTTTACATTTCCTTTTTCTCCTTTTGTCCCAACTTGCCTTACTCCTTCCTTACTGTGCCCTGTCAGAAGGTACCTTAGATTTGTGGCAAGCTTTTGGTATTAATGACCCCACAGGCCAACCCTGTTTGGATGGGCTAATTTTTTCATTTTGTTGATAGTTTCCTGTGGGTTCCGATAGCTGGACACTCATAGGCAACTGTGATCTATTTGCTACCTGCAAATCAGAGCAGAACATCCTTGACTACCAAATCATGACGCAGGCCTGAGGATGCCTAGGCCACTATTGACCTGATTGCACGACTATCTCCATGGTGGTCTCAGGATAACTCCGTGATAACATCAAATACTTTTCTAATGCAATGTCTTTTGATTGATGGTCATGATGTCCCCTTCTCTGCTCCTCATAAACTTTGTCCCCTATTCCAATCCCATGTTCCAGACTATTCCTCATACCATTGTTGCATGGTCAGGTTTTATTAGCTTATATGCTTTCAGTAAATGACACAACAACTTCTCAAGTAGCAGAGTCTTGCCTTGCCAACCTCCACTACTGTTGTATCCTCATGGCATTTCAAGCTGCAAAGGGGCAACAATGTTCCTGTTGCAGTTTGCTGTACAGGAAGGTTTTAGTTTGATACAGTTCTACTTGTTCATTTTTACTTTTATTGTCTGTACTTTTACTGTTAAAGGAGAAAAATAATCCTTACTCAAGACTGGTGTCAAGAAGCTTATTGCCTGCTTTCTTCTACGAGTTTTGTTTTCAGGTTTTGAGTGCGAGTCCTAAAACTTTTGAGTTCATAATCCTACTTTGTTCTTTCTTGTGATAATTTCTCAGTTTCACATGCCTGCCTGTTTTTCCTAAGGTGTTCCCAAGGTGTTGTCTACTGGAATTTTAGACTTAACCTTAGAAAAACTACAGTATGTCCTTTGGTGGTGAAAGACATCCCACCAAGCCAAGAAGATAACGTTCCTTCTTTTGTAGCTGCAAGAATTGGAGATCATTTTCTACATCAAAAATAATTCTTGTAACAGTTATTCCTATCAATGGAACCTTAGAAGACTTCTAAGACTGTTACTATAGCTAATAAAATTAAACCTTAATCGTTAAAACTAATTCTGATTGGTACTCTTACTCTTGTGTAAACAATATGTGACCTTGGTAGTAATTAGTTAATTATTCTGCCTCCAGTAAAGTATAAATTGCTTTGGATGTCACTGGTCAAAACAGAAGAGTTAAATGCTTTAAGTGCTTTACATGAGCTTCAAACTGCTCACCATTCTTGCTTGGATTTAGCTTGCTATTCATCATGGTGTCCTGTGAATTTTAATTTTTTTTCACTCTTGTTTTCTGATTCTTTGGCCTTAGTGTTTTTGACTTTAAATTAATTGCAGCAGGGAAAAAAGGAGGTCTTTTAGACCACTTAGCAACCTGGTCACAAATGGTTAATAGAATATTGGTACTATCTCATTCATTATGTAAACAAGGTCATGTGCAAGAGTGAAAGGAGGTGTCACTATTGACAATTAATCTAGGACAGTACCTACTGACAGAGACTGTCTCATGCCAGCTGGGAGACTGTGACTTGAAGGAGACTTTGGCAAATCTTTTAAACCAGGTGATTCTGATATCACCATGACATGATAGTTTTCCTGCCACTATTGTTTATTGTTCTAAGCATGTCACTGCAGGGAATGGGACATGCCTTTCAGGAAGATAAAATACATTCAGTACAAAGGGAGTAGATTCACAATACTAGCAGAGTCTCTGTTAGGAGTTCCTCTTGGTTTCTAGGAATTGTACTTGCTTTCTCTCTAATGTTTCATTAGAGAAGAGGATAACTTAAAAAGGATCTGAGAAAGTCAGGGTCCCAGCAGTGAATGACCCAAAGTGAGTAAAAGACTGGTAATAAGTTGAGATCATTGATCACAATTTCAACCCTGAGGAAATGAGAAGTGTACACATCACCTCTTCTGTGAAGCAGCCCCGGACCACCAAGCATAACTGCATCCAATGGCTGTCAATGGTTAACAACTCCCTACTCTTAAAATAAGTTCTGGACTATCTGGACCTCATTTCTCAAGGGACAAAAGTTGGGTGGGGAATATATGAAAACTGCCTAGCAATGCCTTGGATAAGAAACAAAGGAGAGAGACTTCTTTTGACAATTATCTGTCCTGCAACTTTCATCTTATTACATCTACAAGAATTTAAAAAAAAAAAAAAAGACCCAGAAAGAAGCATCACTCCCAGTTTGGGCATGCTCCAGACTGTGATAGTGATTCCAAAACACTAGTGTGATTCTTGACTAATTTGCTTCATCCTAAATGTGATTCTCCTAACTCTTTTAGTCTGTAATAAGTTGGAATGATTTTTTGAAAGATTTATTTATGCATACGAAACTGGGATACAGGCCAGAGGTGCAGGGCAACTGAGAGACAGAGTGGGGAGCAGAACAGGCAAACTGATGAAACACACTGCTGAGGGGAGCAATAGGTGGGTTAGGAGAGGTCTGCCACAATATGTGGGTCAGCGCCCTGCCCAGAGACAGAACTCAGACTGAAGCAGAAGTGGATAGCTTCATAGTGCTGCTCTTTAACCCATTGCACCACAAGGGAGGGCCCTAAATTGCAATCTCCTCATCGTCATCCTCTGGATTATTAGAGCAACACAAGTCCCATCTCCTTCCTGGCTGTCATTCACTATCTTCCAAGTGGAGCCTATGAAGCCTCCATGATTTGCTTACACAGTTTGGGAGGTGATTTCCCCAGTATTCCCAAGCATGACTTACATTCCTTTTTTTTTCAGCAAGGCTCTGGAAGAAATCCTAAGTTGTCCTCCCTGGCCTGCCAGACTGATGTCCTCAGGCACCCAGCAGAGGTTCCTATGGCCACTGGGACCAATTCTGATGTCCTCTGAGCCTCCCGTCGTCTCTGCCATGTTACAGACTCCTGCATCAGCCCTTGTCTCTAGGGAAATCCAACAAACCTAAAAATGTACCTTTTAGGATGTGGGGCAGAAGAGTGAACCATGGCCTCAATCTCCCTGATGGAACCTGATTACAATTTCTTCCTGCCACATTGCTCGGTAAGAGAGAGTCCCTCGCCTCCCCCCCCCCATTTTTTTTTTTAAAGATTTGTTTTTATTGGTCACTCACTCATAGCGCAACAGGTAAAAGCACATTACTGTGAAGCTATAGCACCCACTAGAGCACAAGTTCAATCACCAGCCTGGGAGCTGACCCACATAGTGTGGCAGACCAGCTCGCTGCTTCCCTCAGCAGTCTGTTTCAGTTGATCTGCCTGTTCTGTTCCGACTCTGTCTCTGGTGAATCCTTTCAGCCCCCACCCCACACCTCTGGCCTGTACCCCAGTTCTGTAAGCATAAAAAATGTTGAAAAAATATTTATTTTTATTTACTTATGCATACAAGAACTGGGGTATAGGCCAGAGGCATGGGGGTGATAAATTCACCTGGGCAAATATAACCTGCCATTAAGGCACTCATTAGCAAGTGATCATGATCATTTGAGTCTGTCATACGGTGCTAAAAATTCTACTTCCATGGCGTGTCTGTCCTTCCTTCCCACTCCTGTACTCCGGCTCTAGCTTCATCCTGAACTGTCCCTTACAGTAGAGCCCGTTTTGCTGTTCTGTTTGTCCTGTATTCTTACTTCTTTAGCCAGAACTTTTCCCCAGTATTGATTACCCTTTACAGAAAATATTAGGACATTACTGCATGGAGGAAAAAAATTAATCGTAGGGAGACTGGAAATGGGAAGAAAACCCCTAGATTGCCACATTCCTGCAAGTTGCCATATTGCACAATGTAGGAAAATTAGACGTATGTGTGAACAAAATCTCTGTTGTGCTGAGTGCTGTGTTCTGGCCAAAGACGATTTCCCTAAACTCGTTTTGCTTCCAACCTCTCTATTTGTTCTACGTGCAAAGTGTTGGTATATATAGCACCAGCCACATCCTCCAGGCAGACAGCAGAGGCAGCTTCACCAGGAGCCTGAGCAGGAAGGCACAGCCAGAGGTGAGGTGCTACCACTTTCGAATAGGTTTGTATTCTGGCATTTCTTTCCCCACTGGCATTCTTGTGCTCTGTCCTCACACCTGCATCCTTTTGCATCTATTATGCTGCCAATTCAAATTCACCAGATGTGAATAATTTTTAGTGTATGGATTTTGTTTTTATGTCTCCTCTGTGAACTCAGTGATGGGTGGTATAGCACCATACAAATATCTGTGGGCCATTTAACTCAGCTTATATTACAGAAAGTCTTAGTGGCCACAAAAGCTCCAAATTACTACTTTGAAGTCTTCCTGTACAGTTGGATTTCTGAATTGATCAAGGCAGTTAAAATGCAAAGGGAGTTTCTGGTAAAAGTTCTGTGGAATCTCTCATGTAGTAAATCACTGAGATGCCAAAAAGACAAAGTGAATTAGACCCTCTGAGATACAATCTATCTACCACACTACTTAGCATCATAGATGATACCTATATCCATCAAATCGATGAGTTTTTCTTTGGGGTGGGGGGCAACACAAGGATGGGTCAACATTACAAAGCCAAGAAACAAACACCAAAGCAGCAACAACAAAAAAACCCTAATATGTCACCCTTGGTTGTGTTTACACTGTAGCAGGATGAAGCTTGTCACGACCATCATTTTCTGCTCTCTGATCCTGAGTGTGAGCAGCCAACGTTGGTTTGATTACATCAGGCAAGCTGGCCAAGGTAAGAGCAATGGGGACATCCAGATGTACTTAGGATTGAGGCGTCCTCATGGTGTCTACAGGGCTGAACTTCTCCCTGTGAGTAAACTGATTAGATTGGGAGCACTTATGTGGAACCACCATTAGAAATGCTTTTGTTCTCACACCCCAGTCAGCGGGTTCCCTGCTTCTTTCTAGACAAATTGTACAACCAAACATCCCTTTAAGACCATCCCATCTCTTTCTGCTCATGTATCACCCAAACACATGTACAAATTATCAAGAGGATTTAGAATGGAATCAAATAGAAAAAACTTGAACCATGTTATTCTCAAA